ATTTTATAATATATGAATGCCACATTGGAGCTCCATATCGGCACAAAGCGTCACCTACTTCTGACTGAGTATGATACTAAATAACCATGAATTAATTTTCATGCGTTGAGAATGCCACCCAGCGCGCGGTTCTTATACTGAAGTGTACTTGTCTTCCACTTGGACCTTATTGAGCGAACTCCCATTCCTTGAACACAAAGAAAAGAAGATGCTGTTTTGTGTAGAAAATAGCGCACGCACGTTGTGTGTACTGAGTACCTTCTGGTGTGGCCCGTTGATATGGAAATTGGAACCTGGAATTGGTTCATTGATGCCAAATGATGTTATAGCGTGACACACTTCAGTGTTTACGCTGTGGCTGTCCCAAGTCATTTTTCCAAGAATATTGAACGACACAATCCTTGAGTGTGCCCCAATCGTTTGGTGTAGAACATTTATATGTTCATTTCCAAAGCAAGATTATCATGGATAATGTGGCTCTTCTTTAATGATTTTTTTTCGCTGCTTTATGAAAACAGTTTCAGTCGATATCAGGTCTCAGCACGCAGGTGCTTGAAGATGCCAAGGATACGTTAAAGATGGCCGCGTTGTACTTTATGCTGTATAAATATCATGCTACATGCCGCTTAATTGAGTGCATCAACATTACATATGTGCTTTTTTTAAAGTATCACTGCCAGAATCTACATTCCCCGTCGAATGGAGAAATGCTCGTGCCATTGAAATATTCAGTACAAATAGTTCGTCCAGCATGTCTAACCAGAAAACAAAATCGCGAATACAGCACATCGCGAAATAATGCTCTGTATTAAAGTTTTTTTTTGTCTGTATCTATCACAACAAAGTTCTGCAAATTATGCCAGTGTGTTTCCCTTTATATAGTTCATCTTTGCGTGAAATATTGTTGTACTGGCTAGCGGGATAAGTTTACAAGAATTGCTCACACATGAGTATTTACCTAAATATGCATTATTTTGAAAATCATTAAAAAATAAAATTTTTATATTCTTTACACTCTTCTAAATTAACATTTATACAATGTCCTAACACAATCTGCGAAAATATAAGGCAATAATAGCCTGGCGTTAAGTTGTAAAGTGATAAATATGGCCCAATTAACGCTAACGTTGTTGCCATAGATGGGGCGTGCGCATTTCCTACTTCGCAATTTCATTATTATCAAAAAGCATAAAAATTCTACGGGGTGGTCACGAAAGGACAAATTGACAGCACATAGGTAGAGGGCAGTTTTGAAGGGAAAATTCCTAATACATTTTCGTACAATCGACCCAACAATGCCCATGGGCCGGAACGATCGAGAGGCGCCAGCCTGTAACATGCTTCGAGGTGCCTGTTTCAAGAGTCGGCGTGTAGCGTTTCCGTCTACGCGACGTAAAGGAAGCAACCGGAGTCAGTTTGCAAACAGATCAGCCTACAACCTTGGCGGTAACATAATATAAGAGGTAGGGCGCGACAAATCCTGTGCCGCCTATGAGCGCCAATAGATCCGCCGCCGTGGATGGCCGCACAACGCAAAAATAAATAAATAAAAACAATAAAAAAAAGATACTGCACAAAAAAAATACTGATTGACTGAGATGGCTTTTATTGGGGTGATTTGAGATAAAATGGAACGACCATGTCCGGTCTACAGTCTTTTTTTTTTATCTTTACCAAAATATAAATTTTCCTTGTAAAACCGCAAAGACATATTCAAACTTTTATTTTTTCTAAAATAAAATTTCTCTTGTTGGACAAAAAATCACAAAGTCACTGTTTGTATTGGCGCACGTTTTTGAGATTTGCATGAAACCGTCGATTTGGATATTCATAAAGGAAAACCGTTGTCGCCTTAGGTTTATTATTTTTTGTGCGTAGACTGTACATAAAATAAAACGAGGTAAACATGCATTATAAACTGAAAAGCAATTTAGGGCTACATTGATCCGGATCTTAAAAGGCTGGAAATTCACATTTTTAACATGATTTGAACAGGTTTGTTCAATATTCGCAGAAATTGTAAAATACACTGGGATGTAGACAGGTTACCGATTTTGTATAATTGAAAATTCAGTTTTAATTTTTAAATGAAGGCCCATCTCAACTTTTCTTCTTCTCTTCACAAATCAAGGCTCATAATATGTCGTTATCATGCCCCTCAAAAGTTGTTTGCAATATATTTTTTTCTAGTTATAAATGTACACAGCGCAAAATCTACAGAATTGCCGTAACGGACAGAAAAAAATTGGACATTGCCGATTTAAAACAAGGGCAAGAAAGGAGTTTAAACATGAAGGAAGTCTGTGAAGAGAAAGCACTGTGACAGGAGTTCGTGAAATATTAGAATTTATAGGGTCTAAGATATTTCGGTGTAGGACGTTTCGGTGTAGGACTTTTCGGTGCGGACTTTTGGGTGCACGGACTTTTCGGTGCACGGACTTTTCGGTGTACGGACTTTTCGGTGTACGGACGTTTCGGTGCACGGACGTGTCGGTGCACGGACTTTTCGGTGCACGGTCTTTTCTGAAACATATTTTTTATAACACCTAAACGAAGCGTGCACACCTTTTCGAAGGCACCAACAGTGAATTGGTCAAAATCCTTTCAAGCCATTAGCAACTTTGAACCCTTGCACTAGACGACACAAAATGGCAAAACCCTTCCAAGAATTAAACTAGGAAACAAAAAAGAAGGGCAACGGGGACACAGAAAGGACAATGAGGATCATTTTTCTAAACTATCCGAGACTAGTGTAAAATAGAGTGGGTTGAAATTAAAGCCAAGAAGAGAAGGTACGAAAACAGTGACGTGTCGAACCCAGCTACCTCGTTTGTTTTTTCCGAACATTATGCAGTTACAGCAACAGTGTGATAAGCACGAATCTTTTGTTCACTTCTAAGTACCTCATGCCAACCCCAAACTACACACTTTGTTATCTACAAGGTCCGCTTAGAAAAAGTAGCCTTCACAAAAACCTCTAGAAATAGCACTAAAGCCATAAACGAAAGGTACACCCGGAACACAATCTTTTGTTCCCTTCCAAGAACCTCAAACCAACCCCAAACCACACACTTCGTTATCTACAACGTCCGCTTAGAAACAAAACTTACTGGTGCCCCAGGAACGTTGATACAGCGCTAACTACTGTAAAAAAACGAGGATAAAACCGCAGCATCTGCATGTCATCGTCCTATTTCATTTGATGTTGGCTGGGTCGAGGTGGTAGCTCTAGGATGACGGTCTACTTGCGAAGTAAACGTGGAAGGTCCAAACATCTTCACGAAGGGTTCGAATACGACAAGGAGCGCTGCTTCAAAGAGAAGGCGAGTGCTGTTTGCCTAAAGCATTAAATAGCGATATCTTTTCAAATTTGTAAAAAAAAGACTGCGAAGTCAATCAATTTGTTTAGCTTATTTTTTAGCGCATTTTGTGGCCTAATCGTATACGGAATAGAATAATATCACTATGATGGGATATGACTCTTAGTTAATTATTATTGAAGAAAACTGGAGCGGTTTTGTATTCGAGGGAAAACTCCTAAATCGTCTTAATTTGTCCTCCAGGATCACAAATATCGAGATTATTTTTCAATATGGTTCATGGAGCATGCAGAAATTAATTTTTAAAGTACGACTGAAGCCCCCCTTCCCGGGGCGGGGCGTCATATTAGGAGTTTTCGGAACCTCCGCTCTCACGTATCTACCCGCACTCTTTTTTTTTTTTCTTTTTTTTTTTAAAGTCAGAAAGAGACGTTGCGACTGGTGTCAGTACGGGGGAATATCCCTGGCAAGCTTGCAATTGCACGCGCTGCCCACAAGCGCGACACGCGTTTGGCTGCCAAAAGATCCTAGTATGACGTCACGACTGGTCGGAGGTTTTTCGTGTTTTCTCGTGTTTAGTTGCATCTTCGGAAACAAACGAACCTGATATTCAGATTCAAGGGATAAAAATACGCCAAACTTCACCTCTCGCTCCTTTTTTTTTTCTTAGGAAGTGTTTCAGCTTCCCTTTAATACCAGACAAAAGGCTGATTCACACTGCCCCATTTTTTTACGTTGTTACGTTACGACCGAAATATTCCTGCCTCGAATGTCGCGAGTCATGCTTTTTCCTTGAACTGGTAGCCTCACTTAATATGAAGCACAGGAATCCCGGTGACTTCAACGTAATATTTCGTAACGTAACTTAACGTAAGAAAATGGGGCAGTGTGGACAGTCCTTAATGGTCAAGCTCTAAATGACTTCGATTTAATTCATCTTTTATTCCTCGCAGACATATTGGACATGCAGCAGGAAGCTCGAATGCAAGGCAAGAGCACATACCATTGATGGGGAAGTCGTCCAACTCCTCAACGAACATACTCATGCCACCTGCCAAATGGATCAACAAGCCAAGTTGGCTTGCTCCTCGATGAAGGAGAGAGCCAAAACAACGGAAGAATGCAACCAAGCCGTTGTCGGACGCCTCATCACCGAGATGACGCCGGAAGCGTGTAGCTACCTGCCACATCAAGATACCATCAAGAGAACATTGAGTTAAGCATTTATAAGCTACTACAATTGCTACCCAGTTTGCAAATATAGACCTTAATTTTATATTTTGGGAGGAGAAAGTTTAGAAGAGGTATGGAAAATGGCAGTGGGAAAATACTTACTATACTTTCGTTATTTTTACAGTTAAAAAAAGTGTTTAAACGCGTACCTCTGATGGGCTAGTCGGTTAAACATCTAGACTGTCAAATAAAAAAAAAGTTCAAACGACTAGGAAAATAAGAATTGAACAGGACGGCGCTCCGCATAAAAACATAATAAATAACAAGGCGGGCGCTACAGTTCACGACTATGAGCAGTCTTGTCCCGCTCTTACTTCTTTAGTCGTCTGCTATTTTTATTTCACAGTCTAGAGGTGTTTAGGGCGTAGCCCCTCGTAGTGTTTAAAATCGTACATTGCACGCATTTCTTATTCACATGTGTCACTGTTTTGAACCGTGATGCCAACGATGTCTCAACTTTTTTACGTGCAGGAGAGTTCGTGCAAAGGAGCAAAGGCCCATACCCCTACCCTTGAGGTTAGAAGACGTTGCCATTCCAGCTAACTACGCGTCGAAGAAAGACGGCTCGAGGTTTCTTCTATTCGACTCCGGTGTGCAAGATCAGAACCGCTTCCTTATTTTCTGCAGTCCGCAGATGATTTCAGTTCTTCAAACATCCAAGAAATGGTTTGCCGACGGTACATTCAAGGTTGCACCAGAACTCTTCTTTCAAGTCTACAGCCTACATTGTGAAGTTGGCGGATCTGTTCTGCCCGCGGCTTATATGCTGCTAACCCGTAAAAACGGTCGTACGCACACGCGAGCTCTGAGCGCCCTTATTAGCGAGTGTGGAGGGGTCTGCGAGCCAAGTACCATAATAGTGGACTACGAACTTGCAGCCATTAACGCCTTCAAGACGGTCTTGCCAACATCCGACGTGAGTGGGTGCTTCTTTTATCTATTGCAGTGCGTTTATCGCAAGGTTTAATCTGAAGAACTGCAAGAACTATACGCCTGTGATCCTCAAATCAACTTGAAGGCCCGCATCATACCTGCTCTTTCCATGGTACCCCGGAGTGATGTGGAGAATATCTTCACCGAACTGGCGTCCAGCGTACACTCAGCTCTGCAACCAGAGATGGATTACTTTGAAGATACCTTCATAGGACGGCCAACGGCTGGGGGAAGGCGAGACGCACAGTTTCCAGTGGGACTCTGGAATCACCATGACACCGTGCTCCAGTGCGACTCCAAGACCACCAACTCGGTGGAAGCATGGCACAGGGGCTTCCAGGCTCATGTGCAGTGCTCTCACCCGTCTCTTTGGAGGTTCCTGGAGGTTCTACAAAGGGAGGACTGCATGCAACTTCACCGGCTCACACAACTTGAGATGGGGCAGCGATTCAAGCCGGCAACAAAGTATGTGAAGGTTTCCGAGCGCCTGCAGACACTCGCTAGAGAGTATGACCGCAACCATGGTCTTCGATTTCTCAGAGGCGTTGCTCTTAACGTATCCTTCTAAATTTTTTATGGCACGTGTTTTGTGAATAAACGATGTTTCAAGTTAAAATCTTGGGTCTGGCCTCAGATGTTATGCTTGCTTCCTACACCGAAAGGCCAGTGCACCGAAAAGGCCAGTGCACCGAAAAGTCCGTGCACCGAAAAGTCCGGGCACCATAAACTCCGTGCACCGAAAAGTCCGTGCACCGAAACGTTCGTGCGTCGAAAAGTCCGCACAGAAAAGTCCTACACCGAAACGTCCTGCACCGAAATGTCCGGATCCCGAATTTATACGAAAGGTTACAGATGAGTTTGAAGCAGAAATCAACTGTATTTAAGTACAGATTTCTCGGATCAGCGAATTTTGGAGCCTACTTTTTGTAGGGAGGCTCGGCTGCCGATGACCAAGTTTAAATAGTGATAAGAAAGAACACATGTTTAAAAAGGTACAATTGAAACAAGATTACTAAATCAAGATCCAGTGCTCACATACAGCGCTTCTCCCGTGCATTCTTTCTGCCGGAGGCTGACCTGAGTTGGTCCCGGCGCTCTCCCGGCACTCCGATGAAAACATTTTTTCCCCCGTCTTGCCTGTAGCGATCACTGTTCGTTTCTTCTCAGTGGCATCACAAGCTCGCGACCACTTTCTGCTTTTCGCGGCTTAGGAGACTTTTCTTTCAAATATAAATATCTTTTCTGCGTCTACTGTTCCTGCTAAAAACGATGTGGTTGCGAAGTGTCGGACCGCGTACACTGTCACAAATAACAGGACTGAATTGCACGCACAAAAGAAACACAGTCCCATTCCTTTGCTTTCATGTTCCTGATCGCTTTGACGTCAGCTTTCGGGAACTGGGTTAGTTTCACGTTTTGCAGTTTAGCGTTCAGTGGGGCAACCAGCTATGACGGTGAATTGATCACCGACGTGGTGGGCGGTCGTAGGTTGTACAACGTTGCCTAGTGTTTAACATGGCCCACCATTCCATCGCAGGTACCCTTGCCATGTCCTGTTCCGTAAAACAATCCACTACGCTGACCTGTGGATGTTGCTCTGCAACTCGTGTAGTTGGTATTGGTTCTTAAAGTGGCTTGCTGCAGCATGCGCATACACAAATTGGATTTCACGATTCTCTAAACCGTTGTCACATAAATTAAGTAACAATCTCATTCAATCGCAACCCTACTGAAAAAAAACATTTGAAATTCAAACGGGTGGCAAACTGGTCGCCCGTTTGAACCAAACTTGTCGATCCGTTTGGATCAAACGTGATTATGGGATACGGGTACCCGTTTGAAACGGTACCCGTTCGAAACGGTACCAGTTTGATACAGGTGCCCGTTTGATACGGGTGCCCGTATGATACGAGTACCCATTCGACCTGGCACGTGACCACACGTTTGAACGTGCCATTCAAATTGGCAAATTATGGGCTAGCCCTAAATGGGTATCGTCTGGAAGGTTGGTTATCTTAAACATATTTAAGACGTCCCGAAACTCATAAACGCATTTATAACATGGAAAAAACACGTAGAACAAATGCACTCGCGTAGGTGCTTGTAAATGGACAGGAAAACCGACACAAGAGATTGTTTTCAATTCTCCTCGAAGTTTATTACCTCTTCTGTAGACAAGTACAAACGTGCAAGTGATCTGTGAAGACTATACTGGTAGACTTTCGGGGAAATTATTCTCCCGGCTGCTGCGCGAATGGGCGCTGCATAATTCAATAGATAATCTGGAAGAGTATGCGTAGAAGAACGGTCAATCGTTGCCAGCACGTAGGTTGCAGTGCTCTACGTAGGTTGCAGTGCACTTAGCATAACAATAGTGGACTTGAAAGATGTAATCCGTGATATTTGTCGACACGGTCAAAGGAGGACAACCACACAAACATAAACGAGAAGGAACGGCTCCTTGGAAGTTTCAACACGATGCGGCGCACAAGCTGTCATTTGCCGAACCCAACCAAACCGCCGCAATTTGCGACTTCTTTGAATAATCGCTCGTTGCCGATATACACGTGGGACTTCTCGAACACTGACAGCTTTGGTGCACATCCAATACGTTGTCGAGAGACATCTCAATAAGACCGCAGGGTTAGGCGACAGATTGAAGCAGGTAGGACGGGCGAACTTCGAGCAGCAACTGACAACAAGCAGACAAAGAAAAAAGCGGCTGCTAGGCGCGCCCTTCCGGATCTCGATGCTTATCAGCGTGTAGCTCGCGCGCTGCTGTGGGTCACGTGACAGGGGTGACAAGAGAGGAGGGAGGAGACGAGGTCAAGGCGCTGGGACCACCGGGACAGCCCCTCTCCCTCTCTTCAGGCATTCCAGTGACATGTGTTTTTGTAGCCTCAAAAAAGAAACGCGCGCGCGCGCACGCATTTTAGCACGCTCGAACCTTGGAAATGGCGGCGGGGCGGCCAGACGCTCGGCTTGCGCCCGTGTGAAGAAAGTACTCAGCGCGAGCTCGTAGTTTGAGTGCTGCAACGGCGGGCGTGCTCTCGCAATGCTCAATGTTCTTGCAACCACGTGTACGCGTGCTACCTTCGCTGCGTCTTGAATTAAAGTGAAACGGAGTCTAGACGTACATTCTTTCACGCGGTCGCGTCTTCTGCGAGAGAGATTCGAGCTGAATAAGTAAATTGAGGCAACAAAGATGGACAAAGTTTTAAAGTTCTGTCAAAAATATCGGCTCACCAACGTCGCGCGTTTACATAAAACAAAACAAAAATGTCTTAGTTTTAGTTGCAGTATAATCGAAAATCAGCGCAATTGAAATATAAATATAATTACTTGCATTACGCGGACAATCTGAAATCGATGAACCGGCGCTCCCAGCCTTCCGGAAACATTGGCTGCCACGGCTGAAACGCTAGGTGTGCCCACGCCGCCGATCTGTACGTTCAGTATCAAACGGGCTCCAAAGAGCCGTTTGATTAAACCGAATACAGTTTGCAACATGGTTACCGGTTTGAGCAAACGTGCCACAACTTTGCCCAAACGAGTCACCCATTTGCCCAAACGAGTCACCCATTTGCCCAAACGAGTCGCCCATTTTCCCAGACGAGCGACCCGTTTGCAAAAGGAGTGACCTGTTTGTCCAAATAGGTGGCCGTTATGGCTCATACGGGGGACCCCTTTGAGCCATACGGGCGACCCCTTTGACAAACTGGTGACCGGTATGGTTAAACTGTTACCGGTATGGACCCGTTTATTTTCATATTTGCGACAAATGTTTTTTTTTTTCAATAGGGAATTCCTTTTTTTTTCGTAATCTCTACGTACATACAACTATATATTAGGCGAGCAGGCGAGCTGGTGGAAGATGATCATGATGTAGAATACCCCAGACTGTGCCAAAAGGTGAGAAACTTGGTCCAAGAAAAAATACAGAGGGAAAGAAAGAAAGAAAACAATAAAAAAGTTTCTTGCGCGGTTTGAACCCGGAACTTTCAAGTCGCGACGAGAAGTCCTGGGGCCCTTATCTCTCGACTACAGAAAACTTGAGTCTCCAGCGCTGGGGCAGGTATACATATATGCTGGAACCGCTTTATCTCCCATGATTTTTCTTTTTTATTCGCTAATATTTACCTCCTCTGGCCGTAAATTTACGTGCCGCTCCTGAAGTATAAAGGGGCAGTTAATTGAGCTCCAGTTGAAAGCCTCTGCAGTAGTTTCTGCGAGCAGAATTAGACTTTTGTATTCGAAGCGACACGGATTTCTATGCGATTAGGCAGGGACGCTAGGTACTTCCTTGTGCCAATGGAGCTGGTCATGTGACACAAAAATCCCTCTTGGCCGCAGCCGCGGCCGCGGCCTCGAGATGAGCAAACCGCCGCAGGGGCTTAGACGCCCAACTTCACGTGCGCCCTGCTTCCCTCTATCCTACGAGGGAGGCAAGGGGTGGCTTCGCACTTCGGCCACTGGGCAGTAGGATCACGGGAGCAATGATGCTCTCTGATATATGAAACCGAACTCTAGAAACGCGTCCAAATTGAGCAGTTTTTATATAACGCCGTGAAATGCTGCTCCTGTGTTACATCTTCATAAAAAGTGTTGATTTAGTGTTGTTCGATGATGCTTAGCAAGTTTCTAATTGGAATCATGGGTCTATTTTCACTCATTAAACCTTTAAGGAACATATTATACTTAAAGGGAAGCTCAAGCGGTTTTTTAATTGAGGAAACACATTTCAATCTACATTTGACATCCAAGATTTCGAATATCAATATTATTTCTTAATTTGGGGACTCGAGGCTCCATAGAATCATTTTCAAAGTACAGCTGAAGGCCCTCTTTCCCGGAGGGTGACGTCACAAAAGGAGCTTCCGAAATCTCCGCTTTCATGCATCTTCGGCGCTCATTAAAGCTATGCACGCACGCGCTATTTTTAAAAAGGGCGCAAAAAGACGTGACGACTGGTGCCAGTGCGGGAGAATATACCTCGCAAGCTTGCGATTGGACCCGCCGCCCTCAAGCGACACACGCTTGGCAGCCGAAAGGTCCTCTTATGACGTCACTATTGGTCCGATGCTTTTTGTGCTTCCTTATATTTAGTTGTTATATTTTTGGGGAAAACGAACGTGATATTCAGATTCATGAGATAAAACTGCGCTACAGTCAACCTCTAAGTATTACGCTTCCCCTTAATAAGCCGAGTCAGCATTACAGTTAGCCCTTTATACTATGCCCTCCTGGCCATATTGGGGAGGAGGACAGACCGTGACGCTCCAAGCGGTTAACTTAACAACTACACGGATGGGGACAAGAAATACAATGACGCAGCGCTCGGCCGACACAACCGAACGCGGCGTCACCGTTCGGCTGGGGTTCGTGTTCTCCAGCGAGGAAGGGCTCTTTGTTTCCACTACGGCCTGCATGAACAATGCAGCATGCACAATCCCAGCTCAGCACAAAAGCCGAAGTGGGTCAAGCTCGCATTCTCTGAGGATAGATCCGGCACTTAACGTCGCTTCGTCGATTGTTAGTATTTTTTTTATTAAGCTGCGCCCCGCGCTC